TCTCATTTAAATAAGGTTTATTGAAGACCAAAGGCAAAGTTTCTTTTGAGAACTTTTTTCATGATTTTCTCTTGTATTCATATAAGATAATGAATATTTGGTTCCAGTGTCTATAAAAAATATTCTTACAACTATCATTTTCAAGGACATGATTTTATATGCTACTAGCTTAAAAGCCACCCTATTGGGCAGCATTTAAGTTAGCTCCTGTGGAGGAATCTTGGTTTGGCTAGGGAGGAGTAGATGTGACAGGCATCAATAAGCTACAGAAGAACTCAAAATTGATCGCTGCATTTGAGTATTGAATTAATGTTTAAGTTTACCTTTTAAAAGTTCTATGATAATTCTTCTGTTGACACTTAATTTAAAGTTGATTTGATGTATGTAGATCATTGTTTTCTATACAAACAATTATTTTTATTTCATGGCTGACAGAATGAGGGAGAATTTATAAGATAAAATTTAATGTAGTGTAAAGATGGGAAAATAGAAATTAGAATTAGTTATACATTCAACATTTGAAGAGTTAGAGAAACATAATAGTTAATTATATTCCATAATATAGGTTTTACTTAATTATTGTTGAACTTTTAAAAGATAAGCTTAAACATTAATTCAATATTTAAATGCAGCGATCAATTTTGAGTTCTACTGTAGCTTATTGATGCCTATTGTATCTACTCCCTAGCTATTGTGATGATGGCCAAACCAAGAGTCCTCCACAGGAGTTAGCTTAAATGCTGCCCAATAGATCAGCTTTTAAACTAGCTTATAATAAAACGTTCACTGCAATTTTGGATACAAAAGAAAAATAAGAGTTACTCCCCTTGAACCATAAAAGCAACGATAATGGTTAGTATAATATATTAATATCTATTTTTAACCTCACATAATCTGGCAAAACCCTGAATCTGAGCTCAAAAAAATTGTTCCCTGTGCCTAATTTTTCTAGAGTTGTTGAATGAGCTATGAATCATTGAAATCAGACCAGTGGGAGTGAAGGAGTTGCTTGGGGACACACACACACAAACACACACACATACACTGTACTTTATATATAAGCAGGTTTTGAAATTCAAGAAAACTTTGATGTATTTTTCCATCATGTTGTTTGATGATAAGTATGTTATAAATTTAAATTATGTCTTGACAAGGTTGATGATCTCATTTGCAAGCTTGTAACAAATATCAAGTTATTTGCATTCATATACAAATTGAAACTCTATGTCTTTTAATTATTGAATATATGAGAATCAGTAAAAAAAGATAAATAATACTTATTCTAATTTAATTTGGTGTTTTTAGGATGTTATAAATTTAAATCATGTTTTCACAATGTCGATGACATCACTTGTAATCTACTGACAACATGAGTAATTCTGAACCAGAACTAACATTCTGTTATTTTGTATAAAAACAAGAGAAAATTACTAAAAAAATTGTTAAAACAAACTTTATCTTTGGTCATCAATAAAATCTGATTAAATATATATATGTATATTTATACAGGTTTGGTTGAAGGCCAACTATAGTTCTTTGTTTAAAATTATTTTATTTAATTCTTTATGGTTCGTACCATTTTTCTGACTGTGGGTATAAATATAAATTGTCTAATGTCTTCACAACTGTTTTGGTTTTTATAAGCCATTATCAAATAATTTTATTTTGGGGTTGACAGAATTGTGTCAGTGTGACTGTATTGTGCTTTCTTTGGTAGATTTTATAACGTTGAGTCATGTGAATTTTTGCAAGATTTACATCTTCATCAAAGAAAACTTGGCAATGTTTAACCTTCATGCCCACAAAAAAAGCAGTGTACCAAAAGGACAGTTATTCCTTTGACACTACTACTATTACTGTATACACTTTTGACTCCCTCGGCAATGTTTATTTACAAGAATATAAAAACTTATGAACCAAGTACAGTGTGATATTTATTATTTACCATTTGATAAAGAAATAAATTTGTAAAGAAATCATTTTATTGAAATTTATAAAAAATTACAAAATTATCAAAATATATAAACTAACTTCAATGCAATATTTATGATTTAACATTTTATAAATAATTATGAAAAATGTTTTTTATTTTTTTTTTACAATGATGTTCACTCAGTACAAAGCCCAAGAGCCACTCGAGGTAGAGGGTTACAGAGTAAGAAGCACAGTTTATGTGGATATGTGGGGTTAAGCCTAGACTTGAACAGGTTAAGATTGTAGGGATCCATATCTTTAAAAAAAACATTAATGAACTATAAAACAAGAAAATTTAAATAAACATAGGATATAATCTATTTCACTTTTTAAAACAATAAATGTTGCCAAGGGTGTCAAAAGTGTATACAGTAATATCAGTGTCAAGGAAATAACTAACCACTCAGTGCAATGATTTTAGTGAGCACAAGAGTTTAAATATTGCCAAAAACTCAATGCATGCACATAGAAACAACCCTATAAAGGCAAAAATAAAACTTTTCTACAATGGCTTATGAATATTGAAAGAGCTCAGAAGACATACAACAATTGAAGTTCAAATTTTCCCTGGAAAATAGTCTGAATGGTAAGAAATAAAAATAAAAAATGGTAAAAAATAAAAATAAAAAACATTCTTTAAGAACTTTTGTTGGTTTTCAACGAAAGCTGCATAAATGAAAAATTGCTGCCCAAATATACCTAATGCAATAGAGGTCTGAGATATTCAGAGATAAAACAGAGGCTTTACGTTTTATTTGTAATGGTAGATTAGATACCTTAGTTACCACAAGTTAACCCAAGTAAAAATGATTCCTAATTGGGGCCAGAGTAATTTCTTTTAGTGGGCAATCTGGTACTTATAAAATCCACTCGTTTAGCCAAGTGATCCTTTTCATGCATGGTTGCTTGTTAGAATGTAGCAAAGGGCAAATCAGTCATCTGTATAAAGACTGATGTACTCATTACTTGGGGTTTCAATTTGACCTATAGGAACTAACTTAAGTCATTTCTTTTAACTTAAGCGACTGTTCATGAGGTGGATACGGCTGTTTATGACCGTTTGGTATGGGACTCGACACATTTGGTATGTTTGCCCAGCCTGTGCCCAGAATTGGGGGCATATGGAAACCCCTTGACCATAAGTAGTTGTTTTCCCAATTTGGGGGCATCTCGTGCAGATATGGTGGAGGCATCCAGGTAGATGGCATTGTTGATGTCTGGAGTCTCATGTTGGGAGTTTTTGTGTCTCTCTGATAATTTGTGTGTGGGTTGCTGCTGGGGTTGTTGCTATGGGAACCACTATTGGTACTGGGGTTGGATCCATTATTATTATTATTACTGCTGCTGTTATTGTGATGTTGGCTACTGTTACCACTAATGTGCTGTTGCTGATGGTGCATCTGCGGTTGCGGGTGGTGTTGTAAGCCTGGAGATGACTGGTGGTGATGGTGATGGTGGTGGTGATGGTGGTGGTGGTGGTGGTGGTGATGTTGCTGCTGGGACGAGTTATGATGATGCTGCTGTTGGTTATCTGCAGCTCCAGAACCCCCTCCTCCTCCTCCTCCTCCACCCCCACCAGCACCACTACTGCTACTTCCACCCCCGCCGCCGCCACTGCCTTGGGATTGCTGGACGCAGTCTCCACCTTTTAATGAGTAGTCCTTCATCGACAGTGACTCTTTGTCAATATCGCAACAGCTAAAAGGTAGTGGCGGGGGGCTATTTGATGACAAGATCTTTGGCTTGTCAACCTCTTCTTTAGACTGTAGTAACGTCGACGACGATGACGATACCATAGTAGGCTTAGAGAAGAGCTCACAGCCAGTCCGAGTTCGTTTGTGATTGTTCAAGTTGGCCCTCTGCGAGAAACTCTTGCCGCACACATCACACTGGAAGGGTTTCTCTCCGGTGTGCACGCGAAGGTGTGTTTTCAGGTTGCCACGTTGGGCAAACGTCTTGTTACACACCGAACAATAGTAAGGCTTCTCCCCAGTGTGGATGCGCTCATGGTTTTGCAGACTAATCTGAAGTGTAAATGCCTTTGAACACATAGAACACTTAAACAAGTTGCCGTTGTGCACTCGCAAGTGATTATCCAGGTTTGTCTTTTGGCTGAACGCTTTGGGGCAGAGCTCACACTGATAAGGTTTCTCTCCTGTGTGTGTCCGCATGTGCAGCTTCAAGTTTCCCTGCTGGCTGAAAGCCTTCCCGCAAGTCATACACTTGAACGGCTTCTCTCCTGTGTGTGTCCGCTGATGGTTTTTCAAATTTATCTGCAAACTAAATGCTTTGGGACAGAACGAACATTTAAACGGCTTCTCCCCGGTATGAATACGCTCGTGGTTTTGCAAAAAGAAGGCGTTTGCAAAGGCCTTCTTGCAGAAGCGGCAGTAAAACATATCCCCCGTGTGTAAACGTTTATGGTCTTCCAAATTGACGCGTTGACTGAAAGCTTTACCACAAGTCTCACACGCAAATGGTCGTTCCCCTGTATGATTGCGCATATGTAACTTCAAGTTACCTTGCTGGCTAAATGCACGCCCACATGTCATGCATGTGTAGGGTTTTTCTCCTGTGTGTGTGCGCCTGTGGTTTTTAAGAGCCGTCTGCTGACTGAAGGCTTTTGGGCAGAAGCCGCAAAGGTACGGTTTCTCTCCAGTGTGGATCCGTTCATGGTTTCGGAGATTAATTTGTAAAGTAAAGGTTTTTGAGCATGTTGAACAGGTAAATAGGTTTCCTGTGTGTATTCGCCGATGGTTATCAAGGTTTGTGCGTTGACTAAAAGCCTTGGGACATAATTCACACTGGTAGGGTTTCTCTCCTGTGTGTGTACGCATGTGAATCTTCAGGTTCCCCTGCTGACTAAACGCTTTTCCACATTCCATGCAGGTGAAGGGCTTCTCTCCAGAGTGAGTACGCTGGTGGTTTTTCAGGTTAACCTGCAGCGTGAAACCTTTATTACAAATGTTGCATGTGTAAGGTTTGAGTGGACCCTCACCTTCCCCTCCTGCCGTGTGCGTTAGCTCATGGTTCTTCAGGTGGATTTGTTGACTAAACGCTTTTTTACAGAAAGTGCAGAAAAAGCATTTCGCCGAGATTGGAGCAGTCGGAACCAGCAAAGGAGAGACAGCAGAACTGCTTCCACTGCCAGTCTTTCCACTACTATTTCCCAAATTGGCATGATTCGGCGAAGAATGTATGCCTGCAGCAGAACCTGGAGAGGCAGCAGCGGGGTTCGGCAAGGGTGAGGAGCTGAGAGAGGTGGTGTTATGACTGCTAGGAGGTCCATGGTGGGAGTTCATCATGTTTGTGTTGCCACTGCTATTGTTAGGGGTTAATCGTTGCTGATGCTGTGGTGGCGGCGTGGGGAGAGGGGGTAGTATGTATCCCTTGTGGCAGAGATCACATTTGCAGGACTTGCCACCAGTGTGACCCACAGCCGGACCCTGACTACTGCCTTTACTGTTTTCATGGTACTTAAAATGATGGTCATTTTGATAAAACATGGCTGCAGGATTGTGCAGATCAAAATTGAACTGACCTGCCATTGGATACATGGATTTCATTGGATACATGATGCTGTTTTGGAGTAATTTTACTTGTGAACAAGGAGGGTTTGTTTTGTGTATCCTTTGCAGTATGTTGTACTTATGTGCATATTTTTCTTGTTGTTGCTGTAAATAGTCATCAAAGAATAATTTTATTTGAAAAGTAGGTAACTTGGTGTAAATAACCTACAATGAAGATGTCCTATAAACATTAGTAATTAAAATTTTTGGTATTACTAACATATTCTATTCATTTTTTGTTGAAAATATTTAAGAAATGCATCTAAATTTAAATGTGTATAGATATATAAGTTATAAGAGTTGTATATATGTACATCTATGTCTATTTCATTTATATAAGTATTGTTGCAAATATAACAATACACTTTCAAGTGAAATGGCTTTTTAAGTATATAGACAAAAGTATATATTTACGTATATATATATATATATATATATATATGATAAATGTTGCGTTGTGTATTGACTTGAATTCCTTGTTGATTAAAAATGTACTCTTTAAATGTATTCTTTTAGAAACTTCTGATTATATCAAAAGGTTGTTAGAAGCTCAGAGACACAAACATATTTTACTCTATAATTACATAATTTCTTTTGGTTTCTTTCATTTGCTTTTGATTATAAGAAAGGTGTTAACATCAGTAGACAATTAAATGAGTAATTCCATAATAGCAGCATGTGTTTCTGAGTCTATAAAGAACACATATATGATGATACATTTGATTACATATTTTTCTAAATACGTTTTGATAACATTGTGTTCTAAATACTCCTTTTTTTTTATAGTTCCATCGTCAGATGATTAAAGCTTAACAAACTTAAGAAAAATAAAATGTTGGAGGTGGGGTAATCTTTAAACATATTTCAAATTTTGTCTCTATATATGCCACATGCAGAAATCTTGGATGACTAGAAAAAAGGCGATTTTTCGCTTTCTCAGCATAGTACGTTGTTGGTCAGAAACGGGAGAAAATTGTATTTCAAAAGTTGTCAGGTTTGGACAGAGTTAAAAGAAAAAGAAGACATTTTGGGGTGAGGCAAAGATTCTGCTGAAATGCAGATGTTGAAAGGTCAGGAACGAATCGTGGAGCGAGGCGTTCTCAGTCTAGCAGTTAACAGTCGGCAAACAACTAAAAATGTAAGTCATGGGCGAGGCAATTTTTACATCAAAGAGTCTGTAGGAGATCAGAATTACTGCTATACCACTTGATTGATTCACTGTTAAATTTGTCATTCAAAAAACAAACAAAAGAAAGTAAAATCACAGACAACAGTAGGATATTCTGTTAAGTTCTCTGTTGATAATTTTTGATGTTTCTTTTTTTTAGGCAGGTATTAACAGGTGTTTTGATGTCTATCCTTGTAAGAATTGCTTCTGGAATCTGAGATAAACAGTTAATCTTGTATCAATTGGTGCTTTTAATTTAACAATAAAAAGAATTCAGTTCCTTATTTAATTAATAGTATGCAATTAAAGTTATAGTAATTCTCAGGACTATTTAGCTAGAATGAAAAACATAAAAGAAATATTAGAGAAATATTTTTCTATATACATATATTTTGTGATCACATCACTTTGAGAAGTTTAAAGGAATCACCAATCTTCAAGATAATCTTATCAATAGTGAAAATTATTTCCAATAATTTAAAAGAACACAGTAATTGATAAAAACAAAAAAAAAGATAATGATCTTAGATCCTGATAAAACAAGGAGACATTTTTTAAATGTGCAACATTTGTTTGGTTTTGTTGTTGTCAGACAATGAGATCCTTTCTTTTTTCCTTTCTTGCAATTCTTTTTTTAAAAATACCCAAATTTCATCTTTGACAGGTCTTCAGTGTCTTATGATTTGTAAAAAGCTTTTCCATCTTCTGTGATGCATCAAGTTTCATATTTCAACAAATTTTTGTCTGCCTCGAATGTGTTTAACTTTAAAATTATTTTCCACATTTTTTCTTTTTAAATTTTTTTTAAAGATATATGCGTATGGTATAGAATTCAGTGCTGTTGACCAACAAAAACACAATAAGATACTGTGCCTGTCACAAAGATATAAATATTCTCAAATTTGTATATGTCCCTAAATCAAAAGTCATAATTATTTGAATATATCAAATGAGTCAGCACCAGAGAAATATTTTACCATCTGAAATACTTTTTGCCCCTTTTTTTCTGTAACAAAGAACACTGTTTTGAGTGAATGTTTAAAAAGGTTCCAATTTTACCCCAAAAATAGTCATGGCAGGAATAGTTTCTCAGAAATACTACCAAGGGAAATGGAACCATGGCTGACTTTCCATTTGTTCAACATGTTTCTTTCTTTTTGAATACACATCATTGACAATGGGCAGATAGAATTATATGTGATAGTGGTCCAACACCAATCAGATTCTCCCTTCTAATTCAGATAGCAATGTTTATAGCTATTGTTGTGAATGCAGCGGAAGGTGTTGGTGCTCAATTCAAGCAAACAGAATCTGAAAAACAAAAGCAGAAAAAAGATCAATTTATATAGAGTGATATCAAATACTCTCTCAGTCTATTCATATTATCTATCTATCTTTCTCACTCTAGTCTGTCTATCTTTCTCAGTCTGATCTATCTATCTATCTTTCTCACTCTAGTCTATCTATCTATCTTTCTCAGTCTGTTCCTGATTACACTTCCAGTGTTCCAACTCCTTCATAATATTTTCTGTTTTTTAATTCTTTCACATCTAGGAACCCACTGTGTTTTAGTGAATTAGTTCTATCTCCTTAATATTATATTTTCTCATATACCCTAACACCCCCCACCACCACCGAAAACCTTGTGTATTAGTGAATTTATTGCCTATGCTTGGGGTGAAAGGTTTGTTCTATCTATCTATATATATATCTATATCAATTTTTCATATCTATCTATCTAATTCTATTCATATCTATTCATCTATCTATCTATCTATCTATCTAATTCTATTCAATTCTATTATCTATCTATCTATCTATCTATCTATCTATCCAATTCTTTTCATATCTATCTATCTATCTATTTTATATCTATCTATCTATCTATCTATCTATCTATCTATCTATCTATCTAATTCTATTCATATCTATCTGTCTATCCAATTCTTTTCATATCTATCTATCCAATTCTTTTTATATCTATCTATCTATCTATCTATCTATCTATCTATCTATCTATCTATCTATCTATCTATCTATCTCAGTCTGTCCATATCTTTTGGATATAGTTTTAGAATTAGCACTGCAACTAAAAAAAGTAATAAGAATTTTTTTTTAACCTGGTGTGCTTAATTGAATGTAATATCTGTAAAAAGAACTGCAGATTATGAATTTCAATATATATATATATATATATATATATATGTATATAAATAAAAAGAAAGAACAGTAAGATATAAAATCCGCTGTTCTTATAGATATTTTTATTTTTACAAAATAGTGCTCAATGTAAATTTACAGAGCATTAATATTATAAATTAATTGATTTAAAATATGTTTTTTTTTTCGCTTTAATTAGTTTACTAAATCTGAGAAATGACTTAGCTAGTTTTGTAGTAAGTGCCATTAATATTACTTAAATAATACTTAAATTTAAACGTTTAAAAAAAAAAAAAAAAAAAAAAAAAAAAATTGTAATTTACATATACTTTGATATGGAAAAATAATTTTACTTACTATGAGTAATTTTCCTTCTGTTATAAAGTAATATAGTCTATTAAAACTAAACAATGAAAATATTTTAAAATTTTAAAGTTGTAATTTTGAAATTGTAATTAAAATTGTAGTTAAATTGAATGAATTCTAACCTAAATTTCTTTTAAAAATACTACACGCATTAAAAATAATCCCAAAAAAAACACCTATAGTAAAATAAAATTAATATGAAATGCCATAAGAAGATGTAAGCTTTTGAATGACCCATGTCCTTAGTACTTACATGAGAAACATTATAATACTAAGTTTATATATAAAATAAAAGTTTACTAAATCAGTGAAATTAAGTAACCATTTTTGCCGTCATAGTCATAAATTTTTTTATAAAAAAAAAAAAAAAAAAAGTAACCTCATATACATACTTAAACTTGATGTTAAAATAATCCTACATAATATAATGGATTCTAATACATTTAACTGTTCTTAAAAAGAATTTAGTAAAATAAAAATTAAAAAGGAGAATATTTCAAAGCGTAGTTAAATAAAAAGTATTTAGGAAAAAAAAAAAAAAAAAACCCGAAAATCTGTAAATTTAAAAAATGACGTTGAAATTTTTTTACCGTTAACAATTTTTTTTTTTTTTTTAAATTCAGACGACATCCATTCAACGGATGTCAGATTTCATTGTAAAATACATCCCTACCCCTTACCAAATTGTAGCTAATAACTGATACAATGATACTGACATAAGGAAAATCTAGACACCCCTTGTTCAATTTAAGTAGAATATTCTGTAACCATGGAAACGTGATTTTAGCTGTGTCTTTAAAACCCCGTAATTTTTAAAAGTTACTCCAAAATTCGCTTGAAGATGAAATGGAACTAATGCTTTTAATTTAATTGCAAAATTAAATTCGGGGTTTTTAGCTTCTATTTTTGAAACATGGTTGGAATTGTATAGCGAAAAAAAAACATATTTTAAATCAATTAATTTATAATATATATATATATATATATATATATATATATATATAATAATGGACTCTCCCGTCGGTTTTGACATATGATGATCTGACAGGTTATTGATTTTTTTATAGAAGTTTGTGTGATAATCTATATATATATTTAAGATATATAGTGATTTTATAAAGGAGGGCACATATGGAGCAAGTGTGAGGATTGTGAAATGAGATCACTGTTAGATTGGCTGACCTTTTAGATCTTGCTCTCACTTCTTGAAGATGATTCAGACAAGCAGATTGAAAAATTTCTCAGTCCATTAAAACATTTTGATCTCCATTCTACCTACTTAAAAGCTAAGCGCTCAAGGGTGTTATGTGATATATATATTATATATATATATATATATATATATATATGTATACACTTCAAGAAATCATGTGGTTCAAAATACTTTGCAAGTCAGAAGCATGTTCATCCAATCCCATTTTAAATTTCAACATTGATATCACCCTTGTGCTATAGTCATAGAGTAATTATAATTCTCTGATCAGCCTTTTTAACCTGCTTTTAGTCGTTACAATTGGGCAAGCTTCTATCAGTTATCTGGGCCCCACTGATTAGACATGATGTTCTGATCTAAGGAGAAGTTCTACTGCCTTGATTCCAGGGTAAACCACATGGTTCCACTTTGGGTGGTAAGCCTGTAATTTATTCCCAGTCTTGAATTGTTTGTTTCTTCATCAAGGGTGCAGGAAGTAAACATCTCTCTGGGTTGGCCTTATCCACTGAACTGAACCTTTTTTTAATCATTTCACACCAATCAAGGCAATAAACCCACTAGGATGCAAAATGTTACATAGTGTTAGATAATATGAAAAAAAATACATTATTAAGAAGAGAGGACAATAAAAGAACAAGAATTAAGTAGACAGAAGATAACAATTGACATTTTATTTAAATTTTTGAAGATCAAATTTGAGTGGAAAGCAAGAAGCCAGAAGAAAGTTCCACAAGCAAGAAGTGTGAGAGAAGAAACTGTTAGAATAGAACTTACAATTCTTGCTGCCAATCTAGTACTGCACTTAAATTCATAAAGTCTAGCCACCAAAGAGGAAAGTTCATCAGAACAATTACTGTCAAAGTATTTACAGAAAAGACATACGGAAGCTATGTTATAGTGGTGGAAAAGTGACAGAAGTCAAGATGCCAGGTCAGAACCAATAACATTGCAAATTCTTCTTTGGATTTCACCAAGAATCTCTAAATATATAACAGAAGCACCAGATCAAATGGATGTTAGTTTCTGGTGAATAGTTCATATGTACATAATATAGGGGCTAATCTATTGCCATTTCGTGAATATCAGCTGTGCAGTCATTTCTGGTGAGGCCTCTCAATGACATCAAGTGTACTGTTATGGTGCGCTTTCTGGCAATTAATCCAGGCAGGTTTTTACATATACCACTTGGGCTGTTGCTTTTTCACTAGCTCAGGGATGTGTGATCAGTATAAAAGGATAGCAGAAATTGGAATGCTGAATCCATATTGCAAATAACCTTGGGAAAGTTATGAATCCATCTCCTCCCCCAGCTATGGGTTAAATTGTAGAACTTGTATCTGGAAAAAATCATTGTTATTCTAAAAAAATTATTAATGTAATATTCACTCTTACAATCTAAAATATGTTTCAGCTTTAAGTAATGCACAAATTGTTGATAAAGTATAAAAAAAACACAAAAAACAAACACAAATAAAAATCAAATTGCTACTTTGGTTCCTCACCTCCCCATACCAAACTAAGACCATAGCTAACACATGCAATAAGGTCAAACCCAGACCATGCATACAAAAAGTAAATACTAGGTTTTCTATTTTGACACTAATAAAAGGGATCCATGCTCGAACTAACCAGAATTTGATCCACATCTTCAAGAGATCAAACCAGACCTCATGTTTCTATCTGAAACTGTCACAATGCCTTCTTTATGTCATCTGCAAACTTTTTGAGTCTATCATCAAGAGAGTTGTTGATCACCTCAACAGAAACAACTTCCTGAGCAACAATCAGTATGGCTTATGATCCTCTATATTCACTGCTGATATCTTAACTGTCATTACACATAGTGAAATGCTTGATAATAAATTCATTATGAGGGCAATTTCCTTAGATATCTCAAAGGCCACTGACAAGGTGTGGCTTGAGGAATTGCTATAACAATTCTTCAGCCATCACATCTCTGGAAGAGTTTTCTCAATTATCTAATCTTCCCTATCATGAAGGTTAATGAAGGTTGTTAATGGCCACGCCTCTGAAGCTCATCAGACCAATGCAGCCTCATTTCTTAGACCTACCAACTTTCTGATTTATATTAACGATCTGGTTAAGGACATTCTCAGGTCATTAGTAAATATGCAGACAATATTGTGGTTTATGGAGGCACTGCTAAAAAACTAGACAACCAGAGTCATGGGAGCTGATCTCTACTTTGACTGAACCCTAATAGCTCATTGGTTAAAAAAGTGGCTTGCAACATTTAATACCTTGAAAATTAAGCTAGTAATGTTTCATTATCACTGAACAGACTTTGAATTTTCATGATAAATGGTTGTACTCTTAATGCGGGTCCTTTCATTGGAAATCTTTTAGCACAAACTCAGACCTCAAGTGGAATGATCTGTTGCTAAAGATGTAGAAAAAAAATGGTTGATTCCTTGTGCTGTTCCAGAAAGTACCTGAATTCTCTTGCCAGGCTCTATCTTTACAAAAGTCAGATCAGACCAAAAATGGAGTATTGCTGCCATATCTGGGCTGGAGCAGTTTCGACTCATTTTCTCATCCCAGAAAGTACCATTCTCCTCCTGCCATGCTCTATCTTTTCAAGAGTCAGATCAGATGAAAATTGGTGTAAAGCTGCCACATCTGATGTTGCTCAATCCTCATTTTCCAGCCTTGGTAGAAGCATTTATGCAGCCTTGTGGGTGATGAATTATTTTCCACGCTACATTCCTTTTCCCCACAGACAAAACTTTTCTAGCCTCTCACCATTCTATCACTATTTCCAGGAAAATGTCCAGAAAAGCTACATTCTTTAATATCACCAGTTCAGTCTTCACATCTAGGACCAACTGTTATCTATCCTACATATACCCATAACATGCACATCTTACTTCCTCTTCTTACACACTTCCAACTTCATTCAGTAACTCTCTACCTTGAATAGCACTTGAGCTTTTTATTGGCTGAACATTAATATTGAAAAAAGTGATATATTTTTAGCTTCCATAGAGGAATCAATTTACATAGCAAACAGCCCCCCCATTAACTTTTATAAAGTGATATAGATTGATTAATCTATAGCAATATGAAAAAAAAAATTATGGCTTTAATGCATATTGCATATCTTCAGTGCTATCTATCTCTGTTCATATCTCTCTCTCTCAGTCTGGCCGTATCTGTGCTCATATCTAGGTCTCTTCATATAGATTGCAGACTGTTCATATTTGTTTTGGTGTTAATATCTATAAATGATTTTAAGAGAATTAGAAGTCCTAGCCAGATTCATTATTGGCAGTCGCAATCCTAACAAGCTAACATAAGCAGAAGACATAGTGTTGATTGTAGACACAGAAAGGAAACTACAAGAACTCCTAAAGAAGGTAGTGAAGGAAAGCAAGAAGAAAGGACTAAGCATCAACTGCAAGAAGACAGAATGCATGGTTGTCAGCAAAAGGAAAAGCCCAACATGCAAATTACAAATTGGAGATACCAAAATCAAACAAATACAATTTAAATATCTGGGAAGTGTTCTGAAGATGGAAATTGCCAGACTGAAATCTGAAGATGCATTGGCATAGCAAAAGATGCATTCCAAAAGCTAGGCAAAGTATTAAGAAACAAGAAACAAAAGAAAAAGAGTACTGAACTGTTACTTAATATCAGTTCTCATATATGATGAAGAGACATGAAGCAACAGAAATGTGGTTCTACAGAAAGAAGCCAAGAATACCATAGACCAAACATGTGAGCAATGATCAAGTTCTTAGAAGAAAAATACAAACAAAAAGACACATTTATATTTAACATCAAGAAAAGAAGAATTTTTAGGCCACATAATGAGGACAATTTAGAAAATCCAATACTCACAGGACAGATTAAAGGCAAACAATGCATAACCTACTTAGCAAGTCTGAGTAAATGGATAGCGTAGACAAAGGTGTTTAAGAGATAAAAAAAAAATTTATTATTAGCTACAATCGACAGGAAATTGTGGAGAGACATGATCCAACGCAAAAGGGACACAGCACATAGAAGAAGAATGAAGCTTTGTTATACCATATTTCAGTATCTTAAGAGAGCGTCACTTTTCTTATAACTATCTGGGAATGGTCATGGGTTGAAAATCAAACAAGTACAACAATTTAAACATCTGGGACGTGTTTTAACAGAAGATGGAAAGTGTAATTCTGAAATTTGAAGGTGCATTGGCATAGTGAAAGATGCCTTCTAGAAGCTAAGCAAAGTATTTCACTAGAAACAAAAAAGTGTACTGAATAGTTACAGTCCTCCTATATGACAGTGAATGCTGGACAATCCCCTCATGGATGAAGAAGAGACTTGAAGCAAAAGAAATGGTGTTCTACAGAAGGATGCTGAGAATACCATGGACTGAAGATGTGAGCAACAATGAAGTGTTAGAGAAAATGGAAACAAGAAGGACACATAGTTAATACCAGAAAGAGACAGTTAAAATTTCTATGACACATAATGAGGAAAGAGGGCTAGGAGAATTTGACACTTACAGGATATATTGAAAACAAGAGGGACAGAGAAAAACAGCAAATAACTTACCTAACAAGTGTGTTTAAATAGATAGTTAAGGAGAGATTACAAAGACCAAAAGAGCTATAAAGGACAAGTAATTGTGGAGAGACATAATCACCTACGTCCTGAAGGGACAATGATGACAACAGCAGCAGCAGTAGCAGTGAGGAGGAGGAGGAGGGGAAGAAGAAGAAAAAGAAGAAGAATCTATCTCTGTTTGGTCAATTTAAACTCTTTTTTGTCCATCTCTATCTATATTTAATTTCATCTCTATCCTTTGTTTATATCTAAGATTATATATATCTCATTCTGTTCATGTTTATCTATCTATCTCTCTATTCAATTCTGTTCATATATCTCTATCTAATTTTATCATATCTATCTATCTGTCTATCTATCGATCTATCTTCCAATTCTGTTCAGATATATCTAATTTTGTTCATATCTATCTATTTATCTATCTCTCTATCTCAGTTGTCTTCATATCTATCTATCTTTCTATCTATCCAATTCTGTTTAGATATATCTATCTAATTTTGTTCATATCTATCTACCTACCTATCTATCCCAGTCTCTTCATATCTAGCTATTTATCTATTTCAGTCTCTTCATATCTATTTATATATCTATCTTCCTCAGTCTCTTCATATCTATCTATCTATCTATCTATCTATCTATCTATCTATCTATCCAATTCTGTTCACATCTGTCTAATTAGGTTTATATCTATCTATCTATCTATATTTTTGAGATGAAGTATTGTAACTATTTAAATTGTTTGTACTGTTGTCCTCATCTTTATTGCAATATTCATGATGTTTCAGCCATTGTACGCTCTGGCCTTCTTCAGATGATATTTGTTTGAATTTCAAACCAAATCCTTGTTAGGGTTAGATTGTTCTAATTCCACATGCCATGCCTTTGGATATCTCAGTTTCAGTTAATTCAACTCTTATTGAATTCTTTGGGTGAAGTCCCTTTTTAATCACTCAACGATAAGTAAAGATCTGTGTTTTCCTCACTGAGATACACACACACACACACACACACACGCACACACACATGCATATATATATATATATATATATATATATATATATATATATATATATATATATATATGGAAAAACAGTGTATGAAAAGTTTTTTGCAAACTTGGACCTTCATGCGAGAAAATATGAAATGTTAAAAGGATGTCTTTTTCCCAAGACACTGCTATTATTTTAACTACCTTTACTTTATTAAATTTTTTAAATTTGTGAATCAACTATAAGTAAATCTTTATTATTTACCATTTTATAAAGTTTGAATCAAATGGCTGATGTTCTGCCAACCATTCCAATAAACAATCCAATAAATAAATAGTGTTTATTATTTTTGTTGCCAATTCTCAAAAATAAAGAAAATTTATAACTTCACTTTCATATGTTTAGGTTTTATTCCAAGTCTAATCATCACTTTTTAAAACAATAAACAATGCTGAGGAGTAAAGGTAGTTAAAATAATAGTGGTGTTAAAGGAAAGCAAGTTCTATTGACACTCAGTTTTTGTGGGCATGAAGGTCAAAATTTGACAATTTTTTTATATATCAAGAACGATTTTAGGGGAATAAGCATGACAAAGTGGAAAAAGTTTTCATTATTTAGGATTTCATCAAAACTAAGTTTACATTTTTGTTGATTCAGCTAGGCATGTCTGCAAATGAAAGAGAGACACTGAGAATTTTCAATTTAAAATAATCTTTTTTTTTGGTTGATATGTATTTTGGGTATATAATCTAGCCAATGTCATTTAGATTCATTCGTTTTTTTTTCCATCACATTTGTTGTGAAATATCCCACATTGTGATAATAAAAGATCTACCAAGAAAGGTGAACGTTGTCAGAACCTGGATGCAAATTTACTGTAGATGATCCAGCAATTAAAGCACTTTCTGAAAATTTTCATCTGAGCGAATTGTTTTCTCTTTTAATTAGAAAACCTTTTTTATATCAAAATTGTGGTCAGTCTTGTTACATTGAGTGACTAATGCATTTAATATGGTGTTTTGTAAGAGATTCCTAAAATTCCTTGAGTTTTCTCTGATGTATTTCTTGTGGCAATTAGTACAGGTGATACAGTAAATCCCTCTTTCAAGTTTTAGCTTATTATTTTGTTTTGTATTAATTAAGAATTTTATTGTTTTAAATGTAGATGTGACAAATTTTATGTTGAATTTTGATAAATTCTTTTCAATTGTAGTTGTTTTAGACTTAGTGGGTAGAAAAATATATTTTTTTGATTTGGTGGGTTTGTCTGGAAGCTCTGCTTTTCTATATTGAAATATTTTACAAGATTTTTATTTTGCATTGAAAATGAAACAATTAAGGTATTGGATGAGCTTGAAAGTATTTTCAATGTATTTCTCCTCTTCATGCAAATATTGAGGGCTGCACATTCTTAGTACTCTTAAATAGAATCTGATGATTATTCTAGATTTGATTTTGTTATAGAATTTTTTTTGTTCATGGTTATAGAAATTTATGAGATAATTTTTATTGTTTTTCTTTAAAGTGTTCTGGATCCTGCATCTGGAAAATTTGAATAATGTATTTCTTGATCAAATACTGACTTGTGAGGAGAAATTTATCCATCATGACAATTGCAAATGATTGGCTCAATGGCTTGATCATAATAGAGGACCCAAATCAGAGGATTATGGGGGAGGGGTTGTCTGTCTGGTGGTTCACCATTGGTGTCATCCATTATAGCTTTCTGAATCTACAGCTTATGGCCACATGACATGGAAATACTGGTTAAGCAATGTTGAGCCTGGTCAGTACCTAGATAGGTGACCAGGTGCTGTAAGTTTGGATTTGCAGGTGGTATAATGGATAATTGCTCAGAATTGTTAATTAGAGAATTGAGTTCTAATTCCAGTTGGGTTCATTATATTCACTTTCCCCACAGCTATGGGTTAATTAGTAAGACTTGTATCACTAAACCATTATTACATCCCCTGACAATTTTTTTTACAATCTAAAAATATTTTCTGGCTTTAAATAACCAGGAAACAGCTGATAAGCCATACAAAGTGCATTAATCAATCAATATTTTTAAATCTCACCAGATCAGCTCTACCAAAACAGGAACTGAATGAAATGCACATCCAGTTAAGTAAATTGCAACTGGCATTTTGGTTAATCAATGAAATCCAATTCTGCTTCATGACAATGTTCAGTCACATGTTTACAGGATGACACTGCAGAAGTTCATTGTCTTGGGATACAAAACTTTCCCACACCCACCATATTTCCCCATTCTCTCAACCACTGGCTACCAATTTTTCAAGCATCTTGAAAATTTTTTAAGCCAAAAAACATTCCATTGCAAAGATGCAGAAACTAAATTCAAAGATTTCTTGATGTGCAAACTTTTAGAGTTTTATAATAAAAACATAAATAACCTTGTAACTCAATAGCAGAACATACATGTCAGGTTTTCTATTTTGACTGATTTAAATGCAGTTTAAATATCTCAATTCAGGAATAAAAATTGATTCTAAAATTTGGCATTATTTTCCAAACAACCTAATTTCAACTCAGTTCAAGCAATGATTTTGATATCTATAGAGTCTGGGTCCTGTTTATGATGATAAACTACATCTGGCAGCAAGATTGGAGGTTTTGACGAACATGAAACTACGTCTTAATTGCAGTTGCTCCCAGGTTCATTCTGACCAGGGGTGGTAGCACCTGCTAGGATCCCAGCTATGGACAAATGGTGGACTGCCATTAGTTTTATCTATTACAGCTTTCAAGTATCTAACCAAAAAATCACTGCCAAAGTTTTCTGCCAGCAAACTGGATGAAATGTTAAGCAAAATTAGACCAAAACTGGTTAATCTGTAAGGTTCAATTCTGCCACATGTTGCCAGGATGACACTGAAGAAGCTCACCAACTTGGGATATGAGACTTTACCATATTCACCCTATTCCCCTGAACTCTCACCCACCCACTATCACTTTTTTCAAAGGTCTTAACAATTTTTTAGGCCTACAAATATTCCATTACAAAGAAGATGTAGAAACTGCATTGAAAGATTTCTTGACATCTAAATCTTTACAGTCTTATAGTAAAACCATAAATACACTCAATAATAGAAATGTATAGTTGTTCAGTGTTCCTATTTTGACTGATTTAAACACTTTTTTAAATATATTAAGTCAGGAATAAAAGTTGATTCTAAAATTGGATATTATTTTCCAAACAACCTAATTTCAACTCAGTTCAGCCAATGATTTTGATATCTATAGAGTCTGGTAAACACACCTAAATATCCATAGTAAGTTTCCTTTGATTAAAAGACACAGGGTCTAAGCAGGGTTGCAGGGCTCTTGAAAGCCTAGTGCTACTAAATTTTGAATTTCACTATATATGGGTTTGGGGCTCCATTTCAAAGTTAAAAGAAATAAACTCCAAACAGTACAGTGATAGGCTTTCAAAAGCAGCTCAATTGACTACTTGTTAGCTCAATCTGGCAATTCATGAACTGGATCATCCAGTTTACTTTCCGGTTCCAGACCCCACTAAGATCAGCTATTTGGTCAGATTATCAAATGTCATAAATCATAGGGTTGGATTAAACAGTAGCACTTCAACATGTATTCTCAATTCATTTATTAACCACCTACCATGTTTTCTAATTAACATGAGTTGACAGTAGCAGAAAAAATAAATGTGAATAAAGCCATTAAATAAAAAGGTCAGTAAAAGAAGCCAACGATCTTGATAAAAACAAAAAACAAGAATAAAACCAGAATGTCCAGTATAAACATCTGAAATGTCAGATTTTACTCAGCACTATCTGATGTTGTCTAAAAACTCTGTAGTTAGGCAGCAACTGAAATTTCAAATGTTTCTATAAGAGGGCTTGTGCGATAAAATTTTAATCAACTGAAAAGAAGTGGGAAACACAAAACAGCATATTGGATAAATGTATAAAAAGTGGAAATGCTGGTCTAAACTGTTAGAAGAAATGAAGAAAATTATAAACTTTGCATATGTACAAATTCCCAAATTAAAAATGAAAAAAAGCTTTCTTTTAAAAATTTATAATAATTTCCTTTTTTTCTTCTTTAAAGTAAGGATTGAATATTTGCTGCAGATTCTGTTCCCTGACTAAGATGCATTAGTAAATACAGAGTTAATTCTCTTGTAAGTATTTATAGAGACCAATCACCTTTCAATAAAGTGGTTCCAAGTAGTCAGAATTAGTCACGCTATGGATTGCTATATACAATATAGTTTTGTCTCATTATACACTGTTGTCATGCATAGCACAACATTAAGATGAGGCATAACAAGAAGTCACAAGTGCGATTCAAGTCCACTAGCAAGGCTCAAAAATGATTAAAGAGTCAGACAAGATATGTTGTATTCAACAAGATATGACAACATTGTTATCCTTCATCAGCATCATTTATTCAGTAAGTGCATTTTTGTGCCGCTGCGGTCACCACATCCCTCTATCTCAATATTGAGGTTGATGGTGACTTACAAGATAGAATAATGCAATGGCTAGCCAGTTCCTTAAGCACCGGAGATGGTAAAGTTACCCATTTCCTCTTCTCAGAAGTTAAGGTAGAAAAATCTACAAGGTAGCAGGTGGTTTGAATTCGGAGATTTCCTTCTCTTAGACTGGTTTCCAAACAAAGCTATAAGGCACAGTCTGCCCTGCTATTTAACCATAGCTGTGGGAGAAATGATGGATTCA